GTGGCAGTGAGCAAGTACAGTGCGTGTGTGTGTATGTGTGTGTGTGTGTGTGTGTGTGTGTGTGTGAGAGAGAGAGAGAGAGAGAGAGAGAGAGAGAGAGAGAGAGAGAGAGAGAGAGAGAGAGAGAGAGAGAGAGAGACAGAGACAGAGACAGAGACAGAGACAGAGACAGAGACAGAGACAGAGAAAGGTCACGATTTGCAGGTCAACATGCAAGGAGATCATTATGGGAGAGTGCACTGCTTGCCAGTTGTTCCATGGATACTGCATCTGGGATTGGACGATTATAATAATCTTCTAAATCTAAAATAGTGCACAAACCTGTGTTTTGCGGCCGGCCGCTACGCCAATCAATACATTGAAGTGGTATTACCGATTTTGGATGATGTCTAGCGCTAGTACATGTAGTAGAGGTGATACCATGTATACAGCGCTGCTCAATGAAGTTCGATCAAGGGCGTGAATGCCTGGCATGCCGGCAGGGCGTTGTGCCGCCGCTGACCTGGGAACTTCATTCACGTGATCGGATCACACTCTGAGCCAGCACTGTAACATGCCATGAATGGTAAGATGGCTGAAGAGGTGGCGTGGCGCTTTCTCTCCTCAGCTCCTGCAAACAGCCTGACACTGACAGCGGCATCAGCACAACGACAACATATCTAAACCTAGTAGGGACATTGGATCTTACTAGTGGATTATAAGCATGAGAATCGTGCCCCAAACACTCAGCAAGAGGCGGAGTCGATGGGTTGATCTGACAGCATGGTAAATCGACACACAGTCATTCTGGAACAAGCTGACAGGCCCCTGTGCAAGTTGACAGCTCGCTACTCCTCTCCCTGGCCAATGGTTTGAATTTTTGATTTGAATAGCAGGACGATCGTTTGCCTGTCATGCATTATTAGTGCCAGCCGTATGAATGTTGACAGCGGCGAGGCCCGTTTATTCTCTCTCTCCTCTCGCTCCTGCCCCCACCCCTTCTTGGTGCACGATTGCGACGATGTCCAGCGCAGATTTGAAGGCTACGGGCCGTTCCGTTGATCCACGGGGGCAGCTTCGTCTCCCAGCGCAAGGCCACGGTCCGCATTGCCAACCCGACGCCAGGCAGCAGCGCGGCCTACGCCTCCTCGTCGCATCGCCTTACTGGCATCACATTGCGTTGCGTTGTCCATGCTCAGTCTTCTGAGACTGTTTCCAAGCACTGCCGTCGATTCTCTCTCCAACGAAGATCCCTCTCTCTCTCCTTCTCGAGCGTGAAATCGGTAAGGGCTACTGTTGATTAGTCTGTTGACTTTGTGTATGTCTTTTCCTCAAACGATACGTCCGTATCTTGGCATTCTGCTGCTCCTTGGTAGTTTAGTTCTGCGGTGTTGGCTTTACATTACCCGATGTGTTTGTTTGCGGAGGAAAGGTCTTTGGTGACCGGGGTGTTGGAAATAGGACGGGAGAAAACGTCCGTGTGTTCTTGGGGAGGGTCTTATGTCATAGCTAAAACACACACACACACACACACACACACACACACACACACACGACGTGATGAGATTCGTGTTCTTAGCAGGCGGACATACGTGTAACGTGTTAGTAATAGTAGGTGAGTCTGCGGTAGAGGGTCGGACTGTCGATGTCCATGTCCATGTTGTTCGGTGTCGCGTACCCAGGCCCTCTCGCGGACACTCGAACCCTCTCAGGATAAAGATACAGGATACTGCCGTGCGACTACTACTAGTCCAAAATACCCTCACCGGCCCCAGTGCGCGTTGGCTCGTGTCGCATGTAAAGACTAGTTATGGAGCAACAGCTCAGGATCTAGGACTAGTACCCGTAGTACTAGTAGTAGGAGCGGGCTGGCTCTTCTCTGGGTTTCTGCTCTTACTCAACTGGGTCAGCAACACACGCAATGTGTATACCGGTACTGACTGTGTAGATCCACCTGCGATCTCTTCTCTTCACCTTGCATGAACTAACTTGGCGTGCGATGAGAATCCCTTGTTTCGTATCTCCACTCTCCCTAGGCCCTGTGGAACGGCATTGGTTCATTCGAAAGGGATGGCGGCCGCGCTGTTATGCACGCGCCTTCGTGGCCTTTTGCCCCTGATGCGTGGATTTTATCTAGTTCGGATTTTTAGAAGGGTGTGGATCACTACACTGGCCTCTCAGCTATTGCGAGACTGCGGCCAAACTCTGTACTGGTCGAGAAAAGTAAGCGCCTACGTAGACCTGCATGTAGCCTCATTTTCTCTGTGCAGCGCTGATGAGTCCACAAAGGACGAAACAGTTCTGTCCGCAGATTGAGTACAGTCATGTAGATCTACATGTAGTGTTGTCATGTACTAGGATTCGTACGTTCGCGTTCCAAATCCCCGCAGCTGCCGAGCAGAGCCCCGCGCAGCAGACTGGACGGGTCGATAGACTCCACCGTAGTGGACTTGAAAAAAAAAAAACAGAGAGGCAAAGCTTGCACGCCCATGCTACCACAACCAGCGTTGTAGAAACAAAACCAGCTTGGGAAGGAAGGAAGTTATCGGTAGCTGAAGGCTTAGACGCTAGGAAATCGTCTAGACGAATCGTCAACAACTCACGCTGGCTTGTGGAGCACCTAAAGTACAACCGGGTACTAAAACATGCCCTGTGACTGTGTCTTTTCGTGACCACGGTGGCGAGCGAGGAGTCTGCTACAGGCAATAACAAGAGTCAACTCTTGGCAATAATACCGTAATTATCCCTGGTACATAGTCATTGTACAAAATATCAGTTGCACCAGCACAACTGTCTGCCTGTGAAAGTTCAAATTCCTGTTTTCCCTTGTTCGTGGAGTGCTCTTGTCGTCTTGGAGATCAGCAAAGTCCGATCGCGGTCCCTGAGCAGATAAGAGCGCATACCTTTTAATCTCGCGCCGCGGTGCGACAATGCCGTACATGTCATTGGAACTCCGATTAGACGCTCCCCATCATGGCACAGGGAACTGGCCAGTGTACTCAGTATCCGATGTACGTCTTAGCCGAACGTGCTTCAGTAGAACTACATGACGCACGTCAGGGCTAACGATTGCATTCGGTGTCAGAGTACGTACTAAGCGAGTTCCACTTAGGACAGATTGTCATGGACTCATGGAGGACATGAACGTCATGTGATCACCCAGCGATTGCGCATCTCCTACATACACTTGTACAGCGTTGTATGACATGCTACAGATCCATCACTTGTTGTTGGTTGACAGCATGTTACAAGGCGGAGGACGCACCGTTTTCAGAAACAGTATCATTCTGTTAGTGTACAGTTGCTCAGGGATCAGGCGCTGTGTAGGCATACTCTAGTATGCGCATGATGTATTGAATGACTTGATGGCAGTTTTTTTGTCACAAGCAGGCTGGCAGGTACGATAGTAGAAAGTACCATTGTGACGTCGCGATAATAAGAATAATGTTTTTTTTTAGCTCTCTGACCATTTTGCATAAAAAAATTAGCGAAACCATGCAATCCCCCTACCTGTTTGTCTTTGGCCACAGGCCATGGTGAGAATAAAAGATTTCGAACAACAACAACACTCACACACACCAACACACACACACACACGCACACACACACACACACACACACACACACACACACACACACACACACACACACACGCGAGTGCGTGCGCGTGTACCCCCCCCCCCTCCCCCATCATTTCATCAGATCTGTGGCCGGCGGGACTGGTCCCAGTTGTCCGTTTCAACTGCTCATTCTCCGTACCTCTATGGTCTGTCTGTGTGCTCGTTTTCTCTGCAGGTGGATTCGGGCTGAGGCGCAAGGAGAGTAGCAAGGAGAGTAGCCGCCGCCATGAAGACTGTTCAATGGCTAGCCGTTGGGTTCGTGATGCTCATCATCGTCGAGCTGCTCGTGGTTCCCGAAGTCGAGGCCTGGGGCAGGCGCCGGCGACGCTGGTCCAGTCGTCGTCGCTGGTTGGCACGACGACGTCGCTATAGCAGCCGTCGTCGTCGCAGCTGGCTGGGCAGAGCGGTGCGCGCCGTGGGAAGCGCCGTGAGCAAAGCTGCGAAAACGGTCGGCAGAGTGGTGCACAAAGCCGTTACCAGTAAGATTGGCGGCTACATCATCAGCGGGGTGAGCTTCGTGAACGGAATCGTAGGTAACGCGTGCTGCGCGACTGCCGTCACGCCCATCACGGCCGGATGCTGCGTAGTGACGCGTGGCATTGCAGGAGTTAATTGCGGCCTACAAACATACCGTACCGCCAATTTCGTTAAAGAAAAGAAAGCAAAGGATGCGGCACTTGGGGGTGTCGGTGCTGCAAGTTCTTGCTTCCAGGCGGTCACTGGATTCACACCATTGAACAAGGTCACCAAACTCTACAAGGCGCATAAGGCAGCAAAGGCGGCAAAGCTTGCAGAGGCGGCTTCCCGTGGCCGACGCGCAGCAGAGGCAGAGACCAGCAGCAGCCCCAGCACAGGACGCCCCGTCAAGTGCGGCTCTGCCTTTTTCCCCGCCGACATTGCCCGAATCAAGCTGACCGTCTGCACCATCATGGAGTTGCGCACCACCTGCTCCAAGAACAAGGCAACACGGAAGGGCTCGTCTGTGCCGCTCATTTCCCAGCTGATTCGTCGCGTCAAGACCTTCCTGGGGCAGGTTGCATTCGCTGTTCGCCAGAAGGCACTCTACGACCTGCTATCAAAGACAACATGCGCCAAAGTTGACGTCCTGCCGATTTGCAATCCATCCAAGATGGAGTTGAAGAAAGAGTTCAAGGGCCTGGAAGGCGCCAACCGCGGATTCGACCCGATGACGCAGGTGTGTAGGTACATCAATCCGAAAGAGAAGGCGCTCTCCGAGAAGACTTGCTCGGCACGCCTGAAGTACGCCATGGGACATCTCATGGAGGTTTTCAACAAGGTTGTCATCGACGTGGTCAAGATGTATCCCAACGAGTTCAAGACCAAGCTGGCTAAGAACATTCAGAGCGACAATCCAATCGTCGTTCCTGGACCAGTGTCCTTGAAGCCCAAAGCGTGATGATCGATTTGGCTTGTGATGATTGATTGACATTGTCGTGGTGTGGTGAACTTCCTATTCAAAGCATGTCCCGGATTTTTTTATATTTTTTTATTGAAAAACCACAAACCTTCCAGACATGTGAATGTGCACATGATTGCTCGTTTCGTGCTGTATACCTAACTAAAGACGTCAGTATACGCTTTCTTAGATAGAACAGATCTTTCCGCTTGCATTGGTTATAACTTACTTTTACTATGACCTTGCCTGTTCGTTCCACTCATTTGATACTTTTTTTAGACTCCACACTGGCTTTATTCATTGTCTGGGGGGGGGGGGGGGGGGGGTTCCTTGAACTACTGTCTGCAGACTCGCGGCTTGGCTGACCTCATCAGGGTGACGTAGTGCACGAACTGCGCTGTTTCAGATCTGATATGCAGAGTTGCACACTCTGGTTTATGTACTCTTGATATAACCAAGAGTGCATAAACGTTTATGGACTCTTGATATAACTAAATGCGTACTCATATCACAACCATGGGGACGAATAATGTATTCCAGAACGTTTTCTTGTCACAATTATCAATGGAATTCGTGACTAAAGAGAATGATGAAGCTACAATAGGATTTATACACTCGGAGTGAAACAGCGAGGATACAAGCATAGTAAGGAAAAAAAAGGAGACAAAATGTTACGAGTTAATACTGTCTACCAACGTAACCAGATCTTATACAGTCAGCGTGTCAGGTCGCCGAATGTCTCAGTACTCCTTGTCAGTTTTGTGCCATTTTGTCGCACTCGCTGACTGCATAAGATCTGGTTACGTTGATGGATAGTTTAGTCATAACTCGTAACATTTTGTTCTCCTTTTTTCACCATAATAAATGTTTATTAAATTTTGAATAGGGCATTCTCACATCCCTTTTAAGGCTAACGGGGTACCCTATATGCTGTTGTATGGATGAGCGGAAGTCTCAGTGTGGAGCAAATACGAACAGAAAAGCCACCACCCGTGGATAAGTACTTTTAAAGTCTCTGCTGCTCTTGTTCTGTCCCCCGCCCCCCCCCCGCCCCCCGGGGCCCCCCTCCCCGCCGCTAAAACCCGATATGGCTTCAGTGCAGTTTCTTATTTGGGCGCAGCCAAGTGGAATACACTTCCACCGGCGTGCATGCCGCATGGCTAGTCCACCAGCTGAATTTCGCTCATCCATCAAATTTGTGACAAGAAAATCGATTTTGGTAAACTTACTTTCATAACTTCGTATAGTGTGGCGATGACAGCAGAATTTGTTCTCTATAGCTATTATAAATTTTTGTCTCCGCGTCGATTATATCCATCAAATTATTATTATTATTTATTAAATTTTGAATAGGGCATTCCCACAGGCCAAAGGCCTTCTTACGGGGTACCCTATATGTTTTTGTATGGATGAGCGGAAGTCTGATAGCGTGGAGCAAATACGAAAATTATACCTGAACCCCTCGATAGGCACATTGCCTTTGAAATTGTCATTTCATAATAATAAATAATAATAATTTTTTTGAAAGGACGTCAAATTCAAAGTATCAGTAGTAGCAGTAGCAGTAGATTTTATTATTTTACTAGATCGGGGAAGTGAACTGCCTGAAAAGAGAAAAAATTGCCAGACCCACCAGGACTCGAACCCGGGACCTTGCTTGTCATGAGCAATGCTCTAACCACTGAGCTATGGGACCAGGCGGAACCTAGAAGTTAGGCTAGAAGGCGCTGACAAGTTCGTTCACTCCAAATGCAGCTCACAACAGGTGCCACACATACTCATGGCACTTGGGTCTTTTTCCCTCCCCCAGGCCAGGGGACCAACCACAGTCAGTTTCTGGACCCGATCAGAAATGAAAGAATGTGATTAATTTTTTGAAAGGATTGGGAGAACGTCAAATACAAAGTACATGTATCGGTCAGGTCCAGAAACTGACCGTGGTTGGTCCCCAGGGGGAGGGAAAAAGACCTAAGTGCCATCAGTATGTGTGGCACGTGTTGTGAGCTGCCTTTGGAGTAAAATACTTGTCAGCGCCTTCTACAATGTACATGTAAATGTAGGTTCGTCCTGGTCCCATACTAGCTCAGTGATTAGAGCATTGCTCATGACAAGCAAGGTCCCGGGTTCGAGTCCTAGTGGGTCTGGCAATTTTTTCTCTTTTCAGGCAGTTCACTACCTAGGGTTCCCTGTAAGAAGGCGCTGACGCCTGTTGGGAATTCCCTAGTAAAAGAAGAATAAATAATATTAAAACTCGGATGTTGAGCCATAAATAAATGTGGAAAGGAAGAGGACATATGGATACGAGTTAAGGTGTCAGGACGTCGAATGTCTCAGTACTCGTGTCAGTTTTGTGCCTAGTTATTGCACTTTCTGACTGTATATAGTATCCAGTTACAGTGATGGAGAGTTACTTTTCTGCGAGACCGCTTTACCTTGTGCACCCATGGCCATGGTGCTCGCACTGCAGCCACCACCCGTGGCCAAGTCTCTGCTGCTCTTGTTCTGCCCCCCGCTAACACCCGATATGGCTTTAGTGCAATTTCTTATTTGGGCGCTGCCAGGTGGAATACACTTCCACTGGCTTGCCGCATGTCTAGTTCACCAGCTGAATTTCGCTCATCCATCAAATTATACCTAGGGTTCCCTGTAAAAAGGCGCTGACGCCTGTTGGGAATTCCCTAGTAAAATAAGAATAAATAAAAAAATAATACTCGTATCCATATGTCCTCTTCCTTTCCAAATAATATTAAAATAGGAAAAAAAGACTCAGATCCTGTGAATCCGTTTGGTCAGTTGAGCACCAGCCGGACTACCTGCAGTTGAAGTCGCCTGATATCACAAGGGCTTCGGGCTTCCTTTGAGTGTTACGTGCTGTCATGGTCCCGGAGTCGTTGTGGCGTTGCAAAGTGCAACAAGAATGCAATTGCAAGGGCACAGTCTACAGAGGTCATGAGTAGTACCCCCTACCCCCTCGTCTATACTACTACTACTACTGTCATGTTTCAGGTAGAGAAACCTGCGCAGAAATAATTCGGAAATGTGGCAGAACAGTTGCGAGGTAAAATGCCACAAAACGCGGGGAATACTAGTATTGCGGATTGTGTCAAAATTGCCGGAATATTGTTGTACAATTGCGGAAATTGGGACCGATTTTGGCACCATCAAATTCCAGAATAATGTAGCATAATATTTATTACTGGCATATTTGGGAATACCGGTAATGGAAAGCATAATTCAGCAATTTACCGAGCATAATCCGCCAAGGGCTACCCAATTTCCAGCGAAAACACCCATATTTTGCTCCATGTTGCCAGCAAATTTCCCTTTCAAAATTCTTCGATATTTTGCTAGCAGAATTGCTAGCAAAATCGCGCTATGCCTACTCAGCGGTACACTAAAATTTTCGTGTCATTCTCGTGTCACAAAACTGAAACATCGAGCATCAGTATGCCAAGGGGGGGGGGGGGGATGAATCCAGGGAATCAAAACAGCGAAATCGGACCACGAACTACCGCCTTTTACGGGATACCGTACTGGACATGCAAATGCAACACCATATATAGGCAATGTATGGAGCCCGTAATTTGGTATGGGTGTGGATTGCCAAACCGAGAACCCCACTCACATCGGCATGCCTCTTTCAGCCCTGGATTCGCGATCGCTTTCGAGAACCTTGGAGCCGCCGCCCAAGGTAATGTAACGTTAACATCAGGCTGAAAAGTTTGGCTTCATAACAGGCAAAGACGACCCGCGGTGCGTATCAGCTTATACCCGTTTGGTTTGTGCGATCAGAGTGTTTTCCCTGCCGATACGTAGGATCTCACCCTGAACTGGTCTGAAGCTTGCAGAATCGAAGACTTCAGCCAACTCGCCAACCATGAACGTCTATCAGTACAACCAACTGGCTTCCAGATTCCAGTGGTCCCAGACTGGTGAGCAGGCAGCAGGGCAAGCAAACTGTCGGCCTTCGACTTTCGCCTTGCATTCCGGATCTCAGTTGGTGCAAAAGCTTGCCACAAGCTCCCGGTATACTACCACCAGAGTGTGCTCACGGACGCAGGTACGTAATGTCTACATTATCTCGTCGGCAACGGCTGTAGCCGTACCGGCAAGCTACCTGAACGAGATTATCGGCTTTCGGACTCGACACGCGGGTTTCAGAGCTCGGGCGAACAACACCAACGTTCGAGCCGCAGGATACGGCTACGTCGCTGCGGATAACGTCAACTCGGCTGTGAGATCTGGCCTCTCGTCTCGACAAATAATGGTGCAGGATGCTGATTCCGAGTCAGTGCCCGGGTACCCAGTTACCCATATCGCTTCTGGAGCTTCGGATCATCTTGCAAGAGGTGGTCGATTTGGCCAGGACATAGTACGGCTGCCGTCAGACTCCGACTACGAGGATAGCTGTGACGAGAGCGCGGATGAGAGCACACCTGACCAATACTCGTCTACTCCCGATCTGAGCTCTGACGAAGATTCAGGATCTGTGTTTTCCGAGCCGACTAGCACGCCCGATGATTTCGCCTCCATTATTGATTCAGCAGCTGAAAGGTACTGCAGGAATTCGGAGAATTTTGCGGCGTCACTCGGCTATTCTCTCGGTCAGCAGCGCTCTCGTTCTGCCTCTGAATCAGCCGCAAGACTAGAGACAGAGTCCGTGCAATCTCGGCGTAAACGGATGAAATCTGTTTAAATGACCATCTAAACGACCAGTAAGTGCGGAATGTTGCAGTGAAAAGTCTTATTCCAATTGTACTCGACATAGAGAGAGCACAGCTAATAACTGTCAAGATGGAATTGGAACTCTTCGCAGATTTTCGTGTCCCTCGCTGTGCGACGCTGGGATCACTCTGATGTTAACTCGCCGTCAGCCCCCCCCCCCCCCCATTGTCGCCTCAATGTAAGCTGACAGCTCCTGCCCAGACGTGTAGTGGATGCTCTAATGCTCTGTATAACGTGTAAGTGTGCAGTGTTTCGCGTGTATAACGTGTAAGTGTGCAGTGTTTCGTGTGTATAACGTGTAAGTGTGCAGTGTTTCGTGTGTATAACGTGTAAGTGTGCAGTGTTTCGTGCAAGGGTAGTCCCGATCGCACTACACATATCTATAGTGCAACAAATAGCTGTTGAGATGGCCTTGTTTGTGTTCAGTGGCCATATCCTCGCCCAACCCGTCTGGTCACCTGTGGTCTCGTCTGACTTTGTCCAATTCGTGTCACTGCAACACTTCATCCAGCAAGCCCCTACCTACATTGCAGTGCGTAATTATTTTTGTAACATGGGAC